GCTACACAATGGGTTATCTGTGCTATGCCCGCCACGGATGTCGAAACCCGGTTTCTAGCGTTGTAAGTCCGCACACATGCCGCTGTGCCATTGGGGGGCAGCGTTATAAGCTCAGACTAACCACTGAGCCAGCGGTGGGGGGCAGATCCAATCAGTAAAGATTGGAGTCTGTTCTGTAATAAAGTATATCACACGTTAGTACAAATGGTAATACTTAGGGTAAGTACCTAAGGTTTGTATTTTTATTCTAATTTTTAAAAACACACGACAATAAAATGAACTAAAACTACATCAGTTTTACACGATCAATCTCGGAGGAGTCGCTAGGCCCTAGAACACGGGTTGGTGTCTTGAAAAATTAGAATAGAAAACCATCATATATATCATACTGAAACGCTCAAAATTCCCGCGCCTATGAGCCTAAATCTTTAAAGCACCTAGCGATGGCTCTGGTGAACTTGTGTCACCACCCCAATAAATAGGATAATCCGTAACATAAAAACCAGCGGATATGATTATATTCACCACTTCAGGGTGTAACAGCCGAGGCCCTAGTTGTCGTCTGTTGATATCAACTTTGATCGTTTAGAATGGCTCCTAACGGCATGCTCTCGGTGATTGAGCCGACGTTTGGTAATATACTAAATCTACTAAACGCAGATCTACTGTAACCCGAAACGTTAGTTGAAGAACTACTTTGTTTATTGTGTTATTTATGTAATATTTACTTCCTGAAATAATCTTCCAAAATCCCACAGTCTGTAAAGAAGATAATTTTTAATAGACATTTCTTGTTATTGTACGTCTGAATTAACTGATTTCGAATATTACGCATCCCATCCTTATTTTAATTTTCTTTTTTTTTGTCAACATTTTACTGATGTTGTCCAACTAGCGGGCTGCGTCAGGTTGCCAACAAGGTCATAGGATTCGATAACTTCACAAATTATATGTTAAGTTATTACTTTTTAAATACTTATGAAGAGAAACAACAACAACAAACAAAAAAAAAACGTGATTTTCATTACTTGTTTTTTTATTGGATAACTGTTTTTCACAATTCCGTGATCCATTTTTAAGATTGTTTTATTATTATTTTACATAATTAATTGTTTGGTATAGATGAAACTTATTTAGAAACGACACACAACACTGTAGAATTATTTCCACGCTTACTAAGTATTCTAAAGCGATTTTGTTTTAAGCGATCCATGTATTCCACCATTACAGCTACATGTTATGTTTATTGAAATTAACAAGTATTTTCCACCATTATTTGACTATTTGTTGTGATCTGCCCAACACGGGGTATCGAAACCTAG